GCTCTGTTTGAGTCCTTGTCATTGTTCTAAAAAAATCGTGACGAGTGCAATATTTATGTGCAAATCACATGTTACATACAAGTTTATACAAAGACAAATAGGGGGATGGGGGAATTTCATTGTTTTCCTTGTGTTGACTAAAGCTCCGTTTGGATTGTTTTTTGGAGCTGTAAAATGGGGGAAAGCTGCAAAAAATGACAGTTTTTTTACAGCTTTCCCCTAAAATCGCCTCTTTAAGAGGTGATTTTGGGGGGAAGCTGTCAAAAAGCTGACATTTTTGACAGCTTTCCCCCATTTTACAGCTCCAAAAAATCAATCCAAACAGGCCCTAAAGTATTTCCCTGGCATGTGGACTTTATGATAAGATTTGTATTCATACTTTGAAACAGAAAAAGAAGTACCAAATTGTTGTTAACATGGGTGTGTTTGATAATCAATGTGTTTTTTTTTGTTTTTGTAAAAAACACAATGTCATGGTATTTCTTTTTCAAATGTGTTTTAAAAACACCATTTTTTATCAAACTAGTTTGATCATTTATATAGCGGCAGTGGGCGGACCACAAGGAATCAACAGCTCCAAGATCAGAGTTGAGATCCAAAGTATTCCGAAAATTCGTCCCAGTCAACCGCGAACTTTCGAAAACTTTGGAGGGAGGGTTGTAGGCTGTCTAAAAATCACAATAGATAGCTGATTCCCCATCAAACACGGATCATGGAAGTTACAATCTGACGACTTCCAGAAAGCTACAATTTGAAGACTTTCACGTAGATCGATGAAGGTTACAATCTGATGACCTTCACAACAACTGATGAAAGCTCTAATTAATAGCCTTCACAATCAACATCGAGAGTTACAATCTGACGACTCTCACATATCAAAGAGCTAAAGCAAAGATTACAAAACGACGATCTTTGCAACGCTCTGACAGAAAGAGACTACAAATCGACGGTCTCTTCAAACTAAGATGTGGAAGTCCTCCCCGCGAACCAGCATCAAGACGCACCATGTTCATAGCCACGAACGCAGCTCAAGCGCAGCTCTTAAATCCTGCCAACGCAGCTTCTAACAAGCTGCCAACGCAGCTTCCATCCGCTGCCAAACGCAGCTTCCATCCGCTGCCAAACGCAGATTCCAAGCTGCCAAACGCAACTTCCAAGCTGCCAAACGCAACTTCCAACAAAATGCCAACGCAGCTTCCAGCCGCTGCGTCCGAGCTTTCAGACACTGCGTTCAAGCTTTCGGACACTGCGTTTGAACGCAGAATTCACACCAGAATGCGGATTTTGCGTTTGACTCGTTCAAACACGAGCTGAACAGTTTCAAAACCGTTTCCCACGATCTGAGGGGATCACAACTCCACTCAGGAGTGATTTAAGGGGCGGTTACATCCCATTAGCCCCACTTAGGAGCGAATTAAGGAGGTAGTTACACCCCTTAATCCCCTATAAATAATTAAAAATCAATTCAGTTCAGGGGTTCGGTCTGTTAGAACTTCTTGGCAGCAACAGAGGCTGGATCTTTGGGGCTGGCTTTTGGATCCCTCTCCTTGGCAGCAAAGAAGAGATCTTCGGCTTGTCTAACCAATTACAGTTAAGATCAATCAACTCATCAAGAGTTTTAAAACTTGCCACGTAAGTTCTCCACAACGTCAAATCGTGAGGAGAAGATCATGTTCCAGTGAAACAAGACGTCGGATCGTCAACGAGAAGCAAACTCGACGCGAGCATTCGAGGGAGGCATCTCATCGCCACCGTGAAGAACCCAGAATTAAACAAAGGGAAGAATCAAATTCATTCTCCTCTCTTTTGTAATCAGGAAATCCAATTGTAACTGAGATTAAAGAAATACAAATCAATTTTCCTTCGTTTCTTTTACTGCAAATTTTTCCACAAACAAGGGTGTTTTGAGAAAAGTGTTTAATTTTTAAATTTTGTAAAGGGACAAGTCAAAAAAACACCCCGGTTGCCAAACACGTTTCTTTGTTTTTGTTAAAAAAAACAGAAACGACAAAAACGCCAGGTTGCCAAACGCTCCCATATAGTTATTGATCCTATTTAATGTACATGTTATTTGTATATATACCCCTTAAATCATGGGTATTTACAAAAATATCCCCAAAATTAATATATGCAAATAACCCTAACCACGTTTAACTTTTTGTTTGTGATAATGGTCTGAATGGCCTACTAATGTTTTATAATTCACGGAAAATGTATACAAGGATGCAAAATCGAGAAAATTTCATATTAGGGGAATTTTTTTTTTTTAAAAAGACTGCTTTTGCTAAATAATTAGCAAAATAGGCCATTTTGCTAATTATTTAGCAAAATAAACCTCTTTTTAGCCTGTTGACCAAAAAAAGATCGATTTTAAAAAACAGACTGCTGAAAACATACAGGACTAGTAGTCCCGTATGTTTTTTGTGAGCACTAATCCCTGATTAGTGTATTGAAAACACTAATCTCGTATGTTTTAAACAACCTGTTTTTTAAAATCGACCTCTTTAAAAAAAATTCTCCTTCACAATAAGCATTGAATATTCTTCTTTGAAGAATAATATCATCATTGTCTGTTCTCAGAAACAAATATCTACGGATCTATCTCTGTTTGTTGCCTAGTATTTTTAATGGAGTTTTAGGACCCACAAAATAAAAATAAAATAAAACCAACGGTGTATAAATCTTGGCCTATATTTGTCACTCAAAGTCACAAGTAGGTAGCATGGTGCTTGGACAAATCTAGTAGCTAGACACATGTTCATGGACTGACAGCAAATTAATGATCACTCCATTATTAATAATTTATCACCTGCATTATTGAATTGCAAATAAATAGAATGCTTCATATTGATGTAGAACACACAACAAATACGTTTATGTCAAAGTGGGACAATCTTAAGCCCAAATACGGGTATGGTCGAAGAAAATAACTTGTTTTGAAGAAATGTCCAACCGTACGTCGGAATTGGACGAATTATAGATGAAAACCAACTATATCGACGAGACAGAGCCATCCAATCTGACCCCTTAGCGTTCGGTTTGCTTCATACGTTTTGCCAAATTCCTTACGGTTTGAGAGGTATCTGCATTTTTGTCCGTTTTTTACTATTTTTAGTAATGCTTTAGGAGCATGTTTTGATTAGGAAACAAAACCGATTTGATCTCAGATTTGACCGATGGACTTTCCTAGTCATAAGGAGTCTTTTTAGGAGTTTTAATGTTTTAGGAATTCTTTTACTATTTTTGATAAGTTAGAGTCCTTATAGGAGTTTGAGTCCTAGTAAAAGTCTTGTTTCTTTTCTATTTAAGTATGGTCTTGTAAGCCTTAGAGGCATAATTTTTGATAAATAAAATTTCATTTTTCTTCAATATTTACTTCGTGGATTCGAAGCTCTTCGTGGATTCGAAGATTGTCCTTGGTGGATTCCGAGGTTACTACTTCCGCACTGCGTCACATACAAATAATATATTTTCGTTTTTAACTGAATACTATGATTTTAAACTGAGAGTCATTATCACCATTTTATTAGTGAAAATCTCCCAGATAATCAATATAAAGTTTTCATGGAAGCAAGTCTTATTTATGTTTGTAGCTAATATTATTGAAGACATAGAGTTTCACAAAAACTGTCCCCATAATTACTGTCATTATCATCCTTTTTTTTGTTGGTCATCGTCAATTTCTTCACTCTATTGGTAATAATGATGTTTTAGAAAAATTAAGCAGTGCCCGTTAATTTTGGCAGCAGTTATTACTAGGCTAAATTTGAGAAACCCCCCTTCATTTTGGTTGATTATCGTATAGTCCTCATAAAATTCAAAATATCATAAAACTATCTTATGTTAGGGTTATCAGAAGATCCCCTTTTTTACGTTTAAGAAATTTTCAAAAAACCCCTACTAACTGCATTGAACGAGTGAAATTTGTTTTTCACGTTTTCAGAGGGTTTTTTATATTAAAAACTTTGAAAGTTGAAGATATTTTTTTGACAATCCCAAAACTAAAATTTTATTATTTAGCTATTTATTTACGTCAAAGTACAACTTCTATGGACATCCATAGTCATACATCCTCCCATTAAAAAAAAAAAAATCCTTTTTAGGATCTACAAATAGAGTCACATTATAAATGCACAAACAGTTAAAAAAAAATTTGCAAATGACAAAAATGTTAGCATCTACATTAATATAGAAAAGGAAAGTTGTTCTATTACTGCCACTCTCGTAATCAATCACTTTAAAATGGAAAAATTGCTTCAAGGCCCTAAAATTTATGTTTCAATGTGTCCCAGTCCCTCCAACTTCCCCAAATGTGCTGCAGTCGCTATAATTTGAAAAAATTGTGTCCAGGCCCCTCCCTCCAAGTTCCAATGCAACCTCCTCCAAAATCCTGATTTTACCCTCTCCCCTACACCTCCCTCCTCCTCCTCCGATCCCCCTCAGCCCCCTCCCCTATAGATAATTGCATATCCCCCCTACACCTCCCTCCTCCTCCTCCGGTCCCCCTCCCCCACCTCCCTCCCCCGCTCCGCCGCCGGCGTCGTCCCGATGAACTTCGCGTCTCATGTTAACTATTACAGTTCACACATTGAACTCAAAACATATTTATGAAACTATAATAGTTAACATGTTATCTATAACAGTTAACATGAGCTAGGATGAGCTGACATGAGAAAGAGAAATAATAAAATTGGGATTTTAGGAGCTGATATGTCTAATCATGAGTTGAAATCATGATGGAGGGTCCTAGACACAGTTTTTTTTAAAAAAGGGACCGCATCATATTAAAAAAATGTGAAAAGCTGGGACACATTGAAACTTGGATTTTGAGGTCTAGAAGCAATTTTTCCCTTTAAATTTCCAAAATTATTTCCAACCCCTAAATCCAACCCCCCACCCACACACACTATGGCCCACCAACAGTGGGGAGAGAGGTAGAGCCGTAGGGCGCTGTAGACAAGATCAAGGGGGCACGTCAGCTCCCTCTCCCATCGCCTTCGCCCTTCGACTCCCCCAAACCTCTCTCTCCTCTCACTACGGAGGGGCCCATCTGCAAATTTTCCATTATTTATGATCTCATGAGTCATCCCATTTTTATTTCTGTTTTGGCTCCTCTGCTGCTCTGTAGGAGATTGGGACGTCGGAAGATTCATGAGAATTAAAAGCTCCTTTGTTTTCATCTGAGCCCTGGCGTCAGCACCACTGACAAGATTTTGGGGCTGTTTTCGTCTGGGTTTGCTCTTTGTTTTCCCATTGGGCCGCTGAGGGCGCCGTTTCCATCTTGCTCGGTGTTTTTGTCCCTCCTTTTGTTTTTATAGGCTCAGCTAACGGCAGCCGTTTAAAATCTCTGCTCTCAACGAGGGTTTGATCCGGGCTCCCCTAGATTTCCCTAAAAGGTGTGGAAATGGCGTCAAGATTTGATTTTTACGTCTATTTGATTGATGGGTTCTGATTGATTTCGGGTAGTTGCTTAGTGGGTCTTTGTTTGTTCTTTACTGGGGATCGTGGTTTGATTTTTCTGTAGATCCGGATGGTCCGAGATTCGTGAGATTTGAATCTTATTATCATGGCTTGATGCCCTCTGCAGGTTGGTCAAATCGGCGGTTAAGTGTTTCTGTTGCTTGGTAGGAAGATGAACGGAGCACTTTTCGTTGCGATTGCCGCTGCGGTTGGTAATTTGCTTCAGGGCTGGGATAATGCTACGATCGCAGGTAACATCTCAGCAGCAATTTATATCTGTTAAATCCCTACTACATGTTTAATCCTCAAATTGAAAAGTAGGCAGCAGCTCCGTTGAATTTGGTGCCATTTATTATTTTTCTCTCTCTTCAGGGGCTGTTCTTTACATAAAGAGGGAATTTCAATTGGAGACTCAGCCCACCATCGAGGGGCTAATCGTAGCCATGTCCCTGATCGGGGCCACAATCGTCACAACATTTTCGGGGCCGTCATCGGATTATCTTGGCCGACGACCCATGTTAATAATCTCATCAGTTCTCTACTTTATAGGCAGCATGTTAATGTTATGGGCTCCCAATGTCTACATGTTACTCCTGGCGAGACTCATCGATGGCCTTGGCATCGGTTTATCAGTAACTCTTGTTCCTGTTTATATATCTGAGACTGCGCCAGCTGATATCAGAGGGTTACTGAACACATTCCCTCAGTTCTGTGGCTCTGGGGGAATGTTTTTTTCGTATTGTATGGTTTTTTGTATGTCATTAATGCCGCAGCCAAATTGGAGAGTGATGCTTGGGGTTCTGTCGATTCCTTCGCTTTTGTATTTTGCTCTGACGATATTTTATTTGCCTGAATCCCCGAGGTGGCTTGTGAGTAAAGGTCGAATGGCTGAGGCGAAAAGGGTTCTTCAGAGGTTACGCGGAAGGGAAGATGTTGCAGGTTTGGAGCATTATTATCTTTTTTGTGTTCCTTTGGATTTAGAATAGTGTAGTATCTGAAGCCGGGGAATATTAAAATTTTATTTAAAATTAAGAAATGTTCTTGAAATTTTCATTTTTGCAAGTAAGGAATGTTATAACGTGGGGGAAAAAAAACAAAACAAGTAGGTATTAGTTCTTCAAACTTTAAGGAATATAATTTTTTGCGCAACATTAAGGGGTGATATTCTTCTTAGTATGCAATTCCTAGTTTATAATGTGAAAATATGTACAATAAACATTATATTGCGTAGATAATTATTTTTTGGCTTCTTGCCGTGGCAGAAACTTTATCCTGAATCTCTGGTATTAGGTGTTTGATATCCTTTGATAAAGTAACAGCTGTTGTGGGTTCTTCTTCTGGTGTCCTTTATTTTTCCTTGAACATGGAAAAACTTAAATGCTCTAGTTCCTCTTTCTCTTGCATGTTTTGCAGGGTAGTTCTCTTGCAATCTGTTACTTCTTCCAGCAGTGCACACATTTTTCTCATGTACTGTTTTCATTAGTTCCTAGTTATGCACGAGTAGCTTGCAAACTGTTATTAGTAAATACTTACTTATGACCATTATTTAGGTTCTTAATATATCAGTCTAAGGGCTTGCTTTTTTGCACGGAAGTAGCTCTGAAGTAGATGAAGTAGGTGAAGTAAAGGAAGTAGAGGTGTCTTCAACTGCTTCCGAGCAAAAAAAGACGTTTGTTTATCTTAAAATGCCACTTCCACTACTTCCTAAAATGCTGATGTGGCATCTACGTGGCACATTTACTTCTAATTTTTTTTTCCATCCCTCAACCTTTATAACTAGATTGAAAATAAAAAACTAATTTCATATTATAATATATCCTTTTATGTTTCTTTCTCTCTTTTGCCCTCGCGCTGAAAAAACAACAACTACTACTCCTTCACTGAAACCCGAGTAAATACGAGTGCCTTGCCTTCAAATAGTATCTCACTGAGCGTGACTATATGAGGCTGCTATCTCGTTGATTATTGAATCACATAATTAATGTAGGACATGTATAATTTATGATATATCCATTGTTCCATATGATTCTTTACATGTAGTTTCACAATGCAGGTGCTTGTACGAGGGATTAGATTGTATACATTTCCAAGATTATTAAGAGTCTTGTTAATTCACAATGCAGGTGCTTGTACGAGGGATTAGATTGTATACATTTCCAAGATTATTAAGAGTCTTGTTAATGATGAGGAAGGGATGTAATTTCACCGATTAGATTGTATACATTTCCAAGATTATTAAGAGTCTTGTTAATGATGAGGAAGGGATGTAATTTCACCCATATGTTCTACTTCAATAACAATCTAAACCAGTCATGGAAGTAATTATAGTACTTCTTTAACTAATTTTGCAATTGCTATTTAAACAAAACAGAAATGAAGAAAAGGAAGTATAACTTCCATTACTTCAAAAAATATGTGAAATAAACAGAAAAAAGTATTACTTCCGCTACTTCTTACTTCATAATTTTGGAAGTTACTTTTTTGATCTACTTTCTACTTCTAATACTTGTGTTAATCCAAACGGGCCCTAAATGAAACTTTTTCTTCTTACAGATTACAAATTTAGTTCATCAGACACTAATTACCTGTTATGGGCACAATCCTCATTTTCTTCCTCTTCATCCCCATTTTGTATGCACAGGAGAAATGGCTCTCCTAGTTGAAGGCTTGGGTGTAGGAGGGGAGACATCCATTGAAGAGTACATAATAGGACCAGCTAACGATCTCAACGACGAGCAAGCCCCAGGTGCAGAAAAGGAACAAATTACCCTCTATGGACCTGAAGAGGGCCAATCATGGATTGCTCGTCCTGCAAAGGGCCAGTCCATGCTCGGAAGTGCCCTTGGCGTCATCTCTCGTCATGGAAGTATGGAGAACCAAGGAAGTATGGCTTTCATGGATCCCCTCGTCACGCTATTTGGTAGTGTCCATGAGAACTTACCGCAGTCAGGAAGCATGAGAAACTCAATGTTTCCGAATTTTGGCAGCATGTTCAGTGTTGCAGGACAACATCCAAAGACCGAGCAGTGGGATGAAGAGAATGGGCCAAGGGAGGTTGACTATGCCTCTGATGGTACTGGAGGTGATTCTGATGAGAATTTACACAGTCCTCTACTATCTCGTCAGACAACAAGCATGGAAGTCAAGGACCTGACGGCACATGGCACTCATGGGAGTATGAGGAGAAATAGTAGTCTGCTACAGGGGACGAGCGGGGAGGCAATGGGCATTGGCGGAGGATGGCAGCTTGCGTGGGTTCAAGACAAGGAAGGAGGTCTTAAGAGAATTTATCTTCATGAGGGCATTCCTTCATCGCGAAAGGGATCGATTCTTTCGATCCCAGGAGGCGATGTCCCTGAAGAAAGCGATTTTGTCCAAGCTGCTGCATTAGTGAGCCAGTCTGCGCTTTTCTCAAAAGATCTGCTGAATCAGCACCCGGTCGGACCTGCAATGGTTCATCCATCCGAGGAAGCTACCAAAGGCCCGAGATGGGCAGATCTTCTTGAACCTGGAGTTAAGAGCGCATTGGTGGTTGGCGTTGGAATCCAGATCCTTCAGCAGGTATGTATGTTACAATGCACATAGACTCCTGGAGTATCGCTGTTTTGAACTTGCTATCCCAGTTGTTTCATGTTGCATATAGATCCCCTGGGCTAAAAAAATTCAACTTTTTTTAAACCCTCAGATACTAACTAATTTCACCCATTGACAACATGTACATGTGACAAAAAGTTCACCCAAGGTAAATGAGTTTAAAAAATTTAACCCTGGGGTCTGTCTTCGACTCTTCGACAATGATAATACAAGGGTAGTAAGTTCACAATGCATAAAGTATAGGGGGTCTATGAGCAATTAACCCTTTTTGTTATAGCATCTGATGAATAATGGTCTGGTAATTTAATCTGTTTGCAAATTCTGCGACGTGGTTGATGACCTGATTTCAGTTGTCAATAACATCATATTGGATGGTCTTCCATTTAAGAAAAATGCAGCTGAAGTGCTTGTATAATCACTTGATATTTTCTACATGTTTCAGTCTATTTTGCAAGTTTTCCATTACCAAATCAACTGTCTAGTCCTTGTGTATGTCAAGCTAATGTTAAGAGTACATCAACAGCACCATCATCAATAACGACAATGACAAAGCCTTTATCCCAAATTTTTTGATGTTGGCTAAATGACTCCTATTCTTCCATTTTAGTAAATGTTATTTTCTCTATTAAGGTAACTGTTACCATATCCTTCTTAATTACTTCCGACCAAGTTTGCTTAGGCATGCATGTCGTCTTCTTTGCTCCATTAATTATAATCTTATCACTTTTTATAACTAGTGCACTTTGTGGCTTTGATTGCACATGAGGACACAATGCTAAAAATGAGAACCTTTATTGAGGACTTTAAGCTTCTATTTCTATGGAAAACCAGAGTTACAGTACTCTCATTAGGTATGATTGGACCTAGCTGCAAATGGATTGGACAATGAGCGGATGCAATATATCTGTATTTGTTTATCTTTCAGTAAATATGGATTCTGATATTGAAACTTCTAACTCGCGGATGCAATATATCTGTATTTGTTTATCTTTCAGTAAATATGGATTCTGATATTGAAACTTCTAACTCATATCCATAATAGTTAGTTATGAACTTCAATTCATATTTGATTCAGATGTTGGCTAGATATGGTGGAATATAAATAAAACATTGACAAAAGGATGAGCTTTTAAATGGAAATGTAAAAATATATAAGATCCTGAGCTTGTCTTTCTTTAACCAAGACTTTACATTTAGTATATTAAGTATCAGAGAAATATGTGCACTAAAACAAATTCAGAATATTTGGATAATGTAACATATAAAAATTCTATCCTTCTGCAGTTTTCTGGCATCAATGGGGTTCTCTACTACACTCCTCAAATACTAGAACAAGCAGGCGTAGGACTTCTTCTCTCGTGGCATCAATGGGGTTCTCTACTACACTCCTCAAATACTAGAACAAGCAGGCGTAGGACTTCTTCTCTCGAATCTTGGCCTCAGCTCTACCGCAGCATCAATCCTTATAAGCGCCCTGGTTACCTTGTTAATGCTCCCTTCCATAGGTATTGCCATGAGATTCATGGATATTGCTGGACGAAGGTTAGTCTCCATCTTCTCAGACTAAATTGTGCACACCCAGAGCGAAAATAAAAAAAAAAATTTTTGAAAGAAGAAAAGTAGAGGAAAGTTCTCATCTATTTAAATTTGGTTAAATTTGACGAAACCCTCTTGAAATTTGGGCTATTTGCACAAAACCTCCTAAACTTTATAAATAAATTAAGAAGGGTAAGAGTATCAACAATAGATCCCCGAGTGAACACTTTTTTTTGACTATAATCCTCTGGGGCTCTATTTGTTAGAAAACAATTGTCTCTTTCTCTAAGGGTAAAAGAGTCAAAGAGTTACACTTAGGGAGCCTATCTGCAACAATAGAACTATAGGAGGTCTATTTGCAATTGGGCATAGGACAAGGGGTCTATTCGCAATTAATCCAATTTAAAAAACTTAGTGAGCATTTATAAATATTCAAACACACCCCCCCCCCCCCCCCCCCCCAAAAAAAAAAAAAAAAAAGAGAGAGAAAAAAGGGAAAAGAGGAACTATTGAGAACTCTCATAAACGGGCATTAATGTCAGGGATAGAAGGTCGAAACAACCCTCATTACCATCTAAATTACCCTGAAGCTGTAAAACTTTTGGTAAAAGTAAAGAGTACATTCTGCCATCACTAATGGTTTTTTTTGGTGAAACTAAATTTAAGATGTTTTTCTCTAAAGGGTTAATTGAGGATAGACTCCTCGCACTGTCTCCAAATTGAACTTGCCACGACTGTTGTTCTATTATTGCATGGTTCCCCTGAGTGAAATATTTTGACCCTTTTCAGGGGGTCTATCTGCAACAAACAGAATTTTACTCGGGGGTCTATCAGCATTAATAGAACTCTTTTAGGGTGTCTAATTTATGGAGTTTAGGGGATTTTTTGTTCAGAACACCCCAAAGTTGAGGTTTTAAATTTTTTTACTCCTTAAACATTTATCCATACTTTTATTCTCACTATGTATTCATTACTTCTTCTCATGGCAGGTCTCTTCTTCTAACCACCATTCCTATCCTCATGGGTACATTGGTCATTCTCGTAATATCCAATTTGATAGAGTTCGGTCAAGTACTCCATGCAGTGCTCTCAACTGTCAGCGTTATAGTTTATTTCTGTTGCTTTGTGATGGGTTTTGGTCCTATCCCCAATATTTTATGCTCTGAGATTTTCCCAACTCGGGTTAGAGGTGTTTGCATTGCTATTTGTGCTTTGACATTCTGGATTGGAGATATTATTGTCACTTATTCTCTCCCTGTGATGCTCAATTCCATTGGTTTGGCTGGAGTTTTCGGTATCTATGCGGTGGTTTGTACCATATCTTTGGTGTTTGTTTACTTGAAGGTTCCGGAAACAAAGGGTATGCCTTTAGAAGTTATTACTGAGTTCTTTGCTGTTGGTTCCAAACAAACTGCGAAGAATTGAAATGATATTCTCTTAGCTCGAGTTTATCTTTGGAGTTGTTAAGGTTGTGATGGGATGAGGAAGAAAACGAGAGGGAGCTCGGTATTTTGATAAGGGATGATAAGATGCAGCGAGCTTTTTGGGCAAAATTATATAATCTTTTTGCTAACAGAAGTTACTGTTGTAAGCTCTTCTTTCATTTTATGCTTCCCTTTCTTTCTTTGTTCTTGGATTTAGTTCTTAAGAAGTTAGTACTGTAATGCATTTCAGGAAAAATAAGTTGAACCAGAATGATAATAGATCCTCTTAGTGACAATTCCGAAATTTCCTGCCTCCTATTGTTGTTGTTGTCTCTCTTCAGTGAGCAGTTTTGGACATGCAGAATATGTGAATATATGACTTGGTTGAGGAAATTATCGTCTGTTTTTGTTCTTTTTCCCCTCTGTTGATTCTCGTCTATATATTTTGTGTATGTATGTGTGACAAACATGTTGGTTTCTGCTTATGATCTTATCCGTGATGAATATGTTCATTTCCAGGAGCAGGATGATGTATCTGTGTTGAGATGGAGCAGTGCTACATATTTTCAAGATAGATTACATAGTTCATGTGAATTTTGGAATGTTTTCTTGGTTTAAGAGACATCTACCGTACAGATTTCCTCTTGCGTTCTTAAGATATTGACCATACAAACGAGGATATTTCCCTGAAGTTTTAGGAAGTAGTTGCAAATTTAGATGAAATAACGTTATCCATCAGGACATGACAATTCCATCATCAACCCTGGGAAATAAACCAGCAGTCCGTAATAATCTGAACCCAAATGAAAACATGAGCTTGATTGATTATTGATCTTTCAGTACTCATTCTCAACTTTGCAAAGACAATGGTAAGGCTTTCATTTGCGTGGGAAAGTCTCGAATTTACTTCCCGAAACACTTCACAGTAAATACAAAATAGTGGCAGATGCAGAGCATATATACAATTTGATGTACAAATTTCCGCATAGGAGCCAACCACTTTCACTAGCTAACGCTGTTCTTGTTTGGGATCAAATTCCATTATCTTCATATAAAATCATGCCGTAGAAATCCCAACTACAATTTTCTCTTCATTTCATCTGGTAACAAGTTTTCACCAGAACCGTCCTCAGTATTTGGATTCGAGGGCATATGCTTGTACTGCTGATCTGTAGAAGAACTAGGCTGCTCCTGTGGTTTTGATTTCTGTGAGCTAACTGCACCTTCGGAACCTTGGATGCTTCGGACGTTGATCGTCACTTCGTTGAAGTCTTGGCCCTGAAGATAAAAAAGTACAGGTAATAATTAGTGACCAATCACTACATGTCCTGTATCTTTTACTATGACTAAATCAAAATGTAAACTCTGAATACCAATACATAGCCTAAACTCTGAATACCAATACATAGCCTAATTACTCTTGCAAATGTTACTCTTTCTCCTCAAAATGAGTAAAATCTCTAAATCTTACTAACCCTCTAGATCCTAACAACCAATATTCTAATTATTTCTAACTTTGCGTAAAAACTCATGACACCGGCACAATAACTCTCCTATCCAACACAGCCTCGATATAATAAAACAAATGACGAGAACACCATCAGAAGAATAAAATAAGTATTTTTACAAACTTGCCATGGCAGAGCTGCACCATTTACAATGATGACTATTGAGAAGGTGAACTTCTAATAAGATAAAGTATTCAAGTTTGATTTTTCAATGATATTATGTAATACCAGACCCAATCAGAATAGCCATCTACGCTTCAAATATTGTACTACTTCGAGCTTTAGAATGTCAAAACCTTCTAAAAGAACAACTGAGAAATCAAAACAATTTAACAACAATAAAGTAGGTTGGCTTTGCGTAATACTTGTTTCGGAGATTATATAAGTCAGTATATATATTAGAAGACTAAGTTATCTAGGTTTAGGAAGGAGCGAGCAAGAATGAACATATGCTAATTAATGATAAAAACTTACATTTTGAAGCGCCTCCAGCTTTTTCTGCAAGGCTTCATGTTCTTCTCTGATGCGAGAGGGAACACCATGTTTTTGAGAAACATTATCCTGGGCCTTTTTCTCATCAATATCACTGGTGGTGGTAGCGAATGGGTGATTGGCTGGAACCCATCTGACTGAATCAGGGTCTACATCAGGTGGGATCGGATCACCTTCTTTTAGAAAAACTTTCGGTCTAGTCCACTGATATGCACGCGATCTCCTCTTCTGATGTTCTGACTGTTGTTCTTCAGTAAGCTTTACAGGAGCTAAGCGATAAACCTTTCCACACATCTCTATGGTCGAATTACTCTGACCAACCTTCACTAAAGGATTATTAAAGGGATCTTCATATTCCAGAGGCTTCGAGCTGTACAGGAGAAAGTATGAAGAAACACTTATTTATTACATTAAGAATCACATGTCTGTTCTTGCAATAAATAAACATAAATGATTTAATATCTCGCACAACATAGACGTGAGATATAGCAAAAGTCCATGTGGTATTTACTACTTAGCATGCCAACTTAAAGTTATCTAGTAACAAATATGCACTGTACATATATCTCCACATGGAAAACTCTCAGTAGCATGAAATACATGGAAGATATTCGGTTAGATAACATACATGCCTCTTCTATCAGCTCTCAATTGGCCCCTTCTCACGAGATCAGCAACAGAACCCTGACGAGTTGGGCTACGCCTTTTAAGCATCACTTTTCTTACAACAATCACAAGTAACACAAATGCAATATATATGCCAACTGCAAATTTTGAGCCAATATTCCGCCGCACCTGAAACAGGTTATACAAAGACATGTCAGAATGTAGTGACAAGGCCTTAGAAAATACATTTTTTCTGCTGCCTAAAGTAATGACGAGTGCGCTTGATCACAATTATAGGTCTGCATACTGCATAGATGTGGATGCAATAAGCATATTTTGGGTTTGTTTTGGAGCTTCCGGTACATACTATATGTTGCATTTTGTTTATGGACATTCTTGTGCTTTGTTGATTGTAATTCTTGGATGGTCCCAATGTTCAAAATTTGTGTAACTTAATTCATAATACTAGCCTTAGGGTTTTCGAGTTTGAGTAAAAAACACTTTAGTACACTTTGGCAGCTGTATATAATAGAAAAGTTTCTTTTTTCATGAAAACCACCTTTAAAATAGATCTAGTCAGTTTAAAAAAAACAACATTTGAAGTTTTTTCCACGCATAAACCACCTTATAAGTGGATTTAGTTTTCAGTCAACCACCTTTTGTCAAGTCAACCACCTTTTGTTAAATTCTGGTCAATTAATACTTTAATCACCCAAACTATCCTCGTTAATTACACTCGTACTTGGGAAACACGTGTTAGGCACATGCATTTAATGAGGATAGTTTGGGTATTAATCATGCAAAAATTGACAAAGAAGTGGTTGATAGGAAACTAAAACCACGTATAAGGTGATTTACGCATAAATAAAAAACTTCAAAGGTGGGTTTCTATCCATATGACTTATTTTAAAGATGGTCTTCATTAAATCAACCCCAATAGAAATTATGGTTATATTCTTATGCCAAACGTTAGGTGACATTATCAAGAACCAGACTTTTGAGTTCCGTACATAAAGTATGAGAGGTGAGAGGACAAAGCTAGATAGACCCTCAATTTTGCTAGAAATGTGGCCATAAATAAGATCATACAAACTAATCATACATAAGGGAACTCCATTCATCAATGAGGCATAACACATGCTAATTGAAACATCCAAAGTACCCAAAATATCAAATTTTGAAAATTTAGTTTACAAAAAAAAAAAGGGGAAGAGAAATTTCACCACTAAAACAGCAGGGGGAAGAGCATCGATCATCCCCTTCAATGCACGAGCTCCACCACCACCGCCTGAACCCGAATCGTCATTAGAAGCCCGAACGCGAAATCTCAAGCTCGATCGCCGCCTACTCAATCTCAATTGGAGCATCGAGGGTTTCGAAGCGTTCTCGAAAGAACCCAACTTTGATCGCAGCGATGGAACTGCAACAAGAGAATAGTTGATTTGCGATTGAAATCGAAGTGATGTCATTGGGGCGAGAAACTAGGGCTAGGGTTTTTGCTCAATTTCGGGGATTTTAAGTTTTTAACAGGGCTTCTGTTAATATGGTTTTTTACCTATGTACCCTCCAACAAAACAATATTTTTGAATCAGCCCTCCACATCTATCTATTTGCTAATTAACCCTCCAGTTCTACTACGCTGAATTAATAATACCCCCAAATTTATCATCCTCAGTTTTTTGAATATCCCCTAACATAACTTTTGGGGTTATTTTAACTCAATGTTGTATGTAAACTAGTAAAGAGTTGGAAAAGTGTATTTACCTCGTATGACAAGGAAGCTCATTATTCTACATTAGTTTACAGCCATGCATATACTGTTTATAAAACTATATCCCTTCACATTTGCTATAACTTTAGAAGTTAGAGAAAGACTTATATTTGATTCAGACATTAGTTGTAATTACTTAAAATATCTTCTGATAATCAAGTAATAAATTTTCTGAAGCTGCTAGAGCATTAGGGAAAAAATAGTTTCTTGTCACACCGATAAAGTATTCGTTAATAAGTTTTCGATATTATCTTTTGCTATGGGCTAAAAAGTATATTCATGATACTGAGAGAAAGAGTCTAGATACAAAGTGGTTTAAAACCCAGAAAATCTGAATAATTTTGCATCCACTATATTTTTGCGTAGCTCATCAATACATTAGTAATGAAATTGCAAAATTTCTAAAAGGTTTTACTTACTTTCGAACATGGATTAGGCTGAGCTGATAAGATTCTACGGCTAGAATAGTTAGCAGCTAAAGTCCCTAAAAGTCGTCTTTTGCAACTTCCATCAAGTTGATCTCCTTCATCTGCTTCATTCCTCAGTTTACATATGCCAATGCTGAAGAAAGGGAGGTTGAAGTTGACACAAAGGAGCTACTTGCAAAAGATGCTGAAGAAATTCAGTTTTGACAGCAATGCCAAGACGGTGAGTACTTCATTAGTCTCCCATGAAGTTTTTGTCACTTAAGCCTTCTAAATGCTAAATCGATTGTAACATGTCATTTGCTAAGAACAAAGCAAAAAAGGTCAAAATGTCTCTCAGCCTTCATAGAGGCAAAAAGGTTTGTGTTTCAATGTTTAATTGGTTCCATAATTTATGTGAAAGAAGTATTGAAAAGCTCCGCGATATTAACTTTTTTAGGGTAAAACAATCAAACATCCCTTTGTGGACTAAGAAAGTTTAGGGGGCTATATCCAAAATCCCTCAAACTTGAGGTGGTTATTGGCAGTTTATAATAAAGTAGTTGAGAATGTTAATTATCTCAGACGTGGCCAAAGTTGATAGGGGTTTTGTGAAATTTTAAATATGCAGTTAAAGATGACCAAAGGGAGGAACTGATCAAGCTCTTTCGTGTGTGTAGGTCGTAAGCTAGTAATATTTCCCATACATACTGTTGTGCGCAGCGGAAATTTCGGCTGAGTTTCTGGTGCACAATAAGAGAGAAAGATCGATAAGAATTATTGTTTCTCAAAGAGAATAAGAATCTGAAGCCTAATATCCCATCAAAGTGGGATATTAGCTCTTCCTCTCGTCAGCTCTAGGACTACGCGTCGATGGATCCTAAAAACTATTACAATGGCCACAAACTCAAACAAACCAATTTTACGTGGTTCGGCAAATAGCCTACGTCCACGGGGCAAGGAGAGGGATCTACTATTATAGAGAAAAATAATACAAATGAGTTTACAACTCTCACAATCTAAACCCTCGAATAGGCTCCTTGTTTTTCTTCACAAGAAAAGATCAGCCTCCAAATACTTTTTCTCTCTTCACAAAACCCTAGGATTTTCCTCTGCTGCAGCCGCTATTTTTCTTCTCTGCAGAAAACAACCACAGCCGCACACAATTTTCTCCTCTGTACGCCGTCAAAAAATCTCTCTGCGTTTGCATCTGTTGCAGCCGCCAATAGAAAACCCAACTTGCACTTCCGTCCCTGCCTTCGCTCACCCAAAAACCTAGGAGATCACATTGATACTTATAGAAAAAAATATCGGGTGGGCTTTTTTTATGCATCTGCGAATGAATTCATGCACCTGCGAACAAACAAGTTGCTTCACGTGGGTAGGTCCCACACCATTCATAATTCTCCACCTCGGCGAAGTTTTCCCAAAACTGAGCCGACACCAACAAAAACAAATGCCTCACTTGTTGTATCCAGTACGCCATGGCAACGGACTCATGACAACAGACTCCATCCACACAAGTCGAGACCTAAACGGGAGTGCGAACATTCACCCAAATGTCGGTATCTACTCACCAAATTGATCTCACCCCCAACTAATCCAAACCGTCTGCATCGTAAAGACTGCCTACGTATCCTCTTGCCCAAGGAATCAAGCCGAACGTAGTTCACCCAAATGGCCGCGAACGACCTCAATCCAATAGAAGAGTTCGCAACCCTTCTCCAATATTATCAACTCTGCGGCTGATAGCACCTCCAATGGCCTCAAACACCTCCACCTGAGGCGAACCAATGGCCGTATAGCACCTCCAATGGCCTCAAACACCTCCACCTGAGGCGAACCAATGGCCGTATCCAAACTATGTCTGCTAGCTGCACTCGAATCAAAATCCAACCCATCATCTGCATCCGAAACCAAATGATCTCCAAGCCGTGTCACCTCAACTGGAATCCCAAACAATGCAGTATGATCTGGAGTAATCTTTACCCAATGTGGAGTAGCATCACTCTCCACCCGCTGCGATACATTTAAGGTCTGTCCAAAACTCTCCACCTGCTGAGAGTTAAATAGCTCCCTCATCGAAGCCTCAACCGAAGTGACACTACCAGACCTATCTTCCATTGGAGTTTTACCTCCAATCGCAACAGTTAGCAACTCTTTAATAGGATGACTCAAATATGTCGAAGCCTCAGTCCAGAACCTCTTCTGCAAACCATTACTCGACCACAAACACCGATCCTCCTCCAGCAAGGCACGGTTCTCCAAATTTGTCACTCTATCTAGTTTCCCCAAGATTTCCTTTCCAACGAAGTGTCTCGAAATACCGTGAGCTTGACTCCAATACAAAAATAGGTCCATCTTGTACCTCCCACCAAAATCAAAATGAAGTACCTTCACCTTTCTGTCCATCTTACACTTCTTCAAACTGTTAGAGACTACTAAGACTTTCTTCAATGAGGATTTGATTGTAACCCAAACACACCTAGAACAGTCACCAACAAAGGAAACCAAACGCCTATTACCTCTCAATGATGCCCCCTTGGAAGGCCCCCAAACATCCACGTGAACTCCTCTAGAATGACCCTTAGCACGATGAATAGAGGTGCCACACTTCACCTTGGTCTTCTTGCTCACATCAACATGTTCACTGGACTTCAAACTGCAGGTCTTCGCATCCTCTTTCAATCTATGCGAGGAATCAATACTGGAATGGCCAAGCCCCAAATGCCGCAGTCTAGTCGTATCAATAGAAGTCGTCAGTTCTCCACCTGCCACTATACCTCCAGTCAGGTAATACAGGTTATTCCTCCTGATGCCCTTCATCACAATCCGAGAGTCTTCCATAATCTTGAGAACCATATCCTCAATTCGAACATTCAGACCCTCTCCAACCAAAGCTCCAATCGAGATCAAGTTCTTCCTCAAAGAAGGAACATATCTCACGTCATTTAACTCCCTAACAGTCCCGTCAAACATCTTTATGCGAATTCTTCCTATCCCAAGGATCTGGCATGCATGGTTATCAGCCATGTACACCACACCACTATCCACCAGCTTCTCAAAACTGGAGAACCATTCCCTTCTAGGGCACACATGATAGGTCGCACCACTATCCAACATCCATTCAGATTCCTCCGAATAGCTATCTGTAGGACTGATAGAAAGCGAATAAATAGAAGAGTCAGAATTTTTACCATCCGATACGATATTTGCTTCTGATGATGGTTGCTTCCCTTTTCCCTTTTGCTTATTCTTCATCCATTCGTCGAGCTTTGGACAGTCTTTCTTTCAATGACCAGTCTCCTTGCACCAAGCACACTGATTTTTTCCTACTCTAGACTGTAACTTCCAATTCTTTCGGTTCGGATTCTTCCCTCTTGCAACCAACGCCTCTGCTACCGACTCAGTCGAAGTCTCCTTATCCTTCTTCCGAAGCTGATAATTTACCAGTGTAGCAGTGACCTCACTATACGAAAGAGATGCCTTCCCATTAATCAGAGTAAGGACGAAGGTCTCATATTCCTCGTCGGGCAAGGAACTCAACAACAGCAACGCCTTGTCCTCATCTTCAATCATGACATCCACATTCGCCAAATCCGCAAGAAGCTTTGTGTAGGTGTTCATGTGATCTCTAATTGAGGTTCCCTTCTTCAACTGGAAACGATAAAGTCTCCTCTTCAAATGCAAGCGGTTCTCAACACTCTTTGTCAGATACTTGCTTTCGAGAATCTCCCAAATCTTCTTTGCAGAAGTCTCATTCATCACATCATATTTTAGATCTTGAGTCAAACAAGATCTAATCACACCACACGCCGTTCGATTCATCTTCTTCCAAACCTTTTCTTCAATCTCATCTGGCTTGCCATCTAACTCCAAGGTATCCTCCAAATTCTACGCGTTCAGCGCATCCGTATCCTCCAAATTCTACGCGTTCAGCGCATCCAAAACCTCGCATCTCCATAATCCAAAATTATTTGTGCTATTAAACTTCTCCACATCTATATTCATAGAGTGGATATTCAAACTCTGAATGGTCTTCGCGCCAGAAGCACCACCATCGACACCCGAAGCACCTTCTTTCCCCGACATCTTACGCACCAACGAACGAATAATAGATCCAAAACTGAAAGGATAGAGTCTTTACCAAAAGATCTCACCTTTATCACCAAATGAAGCTCTAGACGAGCCTCCAAATTGATCTACTCCTCCAAATAGCCCAAGCGTAGCCCGAGCTCTGATACCACTTGTTGTGCGCAACGGAAATTTCGGCAGAGTTTCTGGTGCACAATAAGAGAGAAAGATCGATAAGAATTCTTGTTTCTCAAAGGGAACAAGAATCTGA